AGACCTAAGTGGTTCTTCCAGGCATGTGGTCTGATGGAAGGGCCTCTCAGTGCTGCTGCTCAGCCACTCAGGTCAGTCGAGGAAAAGGAACATTCTGGTTGCCAAGCAACCACAAGTCAGGTTTTTATCTACCTCTCATGTAGCTTTCTAAAGAATGAGAAAGTGAGCACACCAGCCAAATATCTAAGTCAGGAAAACAGATGGGAAAGAGGCCAAATCAACTTGGCATTGTGTTCTCCCTAAAGGGGGAGGGGGACTATTCAGAAGCCAGGGAAAGTAAATGGATAAATGACAGTGTGAGCTGAAAAACCCTGATTTGCTGAGGGAGGGGTAGATAAAAGCAGGTTTAATAAAACTGCGTAGGTACAGCTATATACACGAACAACGTACTGTATTTGTGACTCAGAAGTCCCACTGATTTCAATGGGATTTCTGTCCAAATATGTACCTAATTGCAGCCTTGTAAAACTATTTATAAATAAAGCCTTGCTGAAAATAGCTTTTTCTCCATTAGAGATCCCTCCAAGTGAAAGAAAAGTCTAAAGGATGATACAATTGATGTAATAACAAAAGCCACTTATAGAAACAAAACTACCCAAATCTAAGCTTATATTCCAATCAAAATAATGTGAAGAAAATGCTAAATTAACTTTGATCAGAGAAAAGATACTATCTGTTTCTGTTTACTAAAAAAATCAGACTTTTACATGAAATAGAAAAAATGAACTTATGATTTATGATTTTGATTAGGCAGGATAGATATAGAAAGAAGAGAGTTATGTAGCCTAAAAGGGAAATGTATAGTTATAACTGAAGTAAATAAGATTGGAAGCTACTTGTGTGGAAAAAATACAGTACTGTAGCTTTTAGACATGAAGAACAGAAATGATTATTGTTTCAGCAGGCTTTTCTAAGAAATATAATCTTGTTAGGCAACTCTGATGGAATATCAGCTCTGTTTAGTACTTACAATGCCTTGCATTTATTGTAGTTAATAACTAAATCACTTCAAATAGGTTAAAATGTGCATGATATCCCCATATTTTACCTTCCCCATGAAAATTGGGCCTGAAAATGCTGAACATTCCATTCCAATATTAATTTATCCATATTGATTTTTCTAAACCAGCAGAATTAAAAGAATTCCCCATCTTTACAGCCCACAAAGCAAACACAATCTCCATCAAATGAGTCCCCATCTTCTCTCATTCGTTGCTCAGTATGTAGCACTGAAATACAACGTAAAATTTGAAGCTAGTATATGTGTAAAGTTGTGGATGCCACAAAAATCTGGGCTAAATACACACTAATGACTGGATGTTAAAAAGTTTTTTTTACTCTCGACAAAACCTTATTTCTTACTTTCCCATTTTGTTTAGGGAGGAATTATTTAGAGGGGAGGGAGCGAGACTATATTCTCAAGTATATGCTGCAGTTCCTTCCATTTAAGCATGAAGTGTGGCCCGAATATGAAAGAGGAAAAGAATGTCATCTGATTTTAGCAGCAAAAGCAAAGCTAGGATAAGAATACTGAATCATGCCCCTAATTCACTATCAATCACCACTGGAATTACTCAAAAAGTCAAATTAGCCATTCTTAATTGTATGTTAATAACCCCAATACTGTTTATATTTTAATACTAGCAGGGTGGCATAGAGGAAGAGAGTCACTGGGACTAGATTACACAGGGAAAGACAAACACCCTGAAGGGAAACAGTTCCAGTTGCTACCTGGATAAAGTTTTTTTTCTCTATAGTTAATTGGAGAAATAGATGGTTTTCATTGAGACTATAGCTCATGAAAAGATTAAACATCCTTCATGTTGGTCCTATTGACTAAGCGTGTGTGTACACAATAAAAAGATGTCCTTGTTTTTTATTTACTTCATAGACCTGTCTGTTTAGGGCTTTGAGCAGGGCAACAACCCAGAAGTGATTTGCTACTGTCTTCCAGAATGTCTTTTGACTTCCCAGGCTTACCTATATCCCTGATATTTGTGGTAGTCCCTTCCAGGTTTCCTAACTAGATCTGAATTAGCTTAGTTTAACTATGGTCAGCTAGATGTGCATTTAAAACAAAAATAAAAGTTATGAATGCAACTGGGATAATCCTAGTGTGGCCCTTTTAAGAAGAAACTGCACACTAAAAAAATATACAAGCAAATATAAACAGTTTGCAAGAAACAGTTTGTGTGTCTCACCCATCGGTTAGCAGAATTTTAAGTGTCCCATCTAGTTGCTCTTCAAGTTGCATAATACTGATACATCTTACAACTTTATGGACAGCATGGTGAAAAATTAAACTTCATTGATGCCTCTTTAATAAGATTTAAATTCAGCACTATTAATTTATGCTGGTCAAACATAAATGAGCACCAGGCTCATCCAAAACTGGTGATAAACAAAAGAAATAATTCTGCTCCAAAAAGGATTGTAGGACCACCTCGTTAATAGAAATGAATAGCAAAAGAGATACTTATAAAGTATTGTAATCCTTTCAGTTGTGGGAACTGATATCTCAGTATTTTTTAAAAAATAGAAGAAAAGTCATGGCACAATATATTTAGTGGCATTTATGGCAATATTCAAATGTCTACTAATACTGCTCAGTCTCAGTGCATTATTCCAATGGTATGACTTTATATTCTACATTACTTCTTGCATCTTCTTACAATTTGCTTGCTTTTGAAGGAATAATATCACAATAGATATGACCAATATTGAATTGCCCTTTGTTCCCACTGAAAATCATGAAGTGCAAGTATCTTAATATGGATTTACCTCAGTGATTTTTATCACTTTTTCTATGTGGGCAAAAAAATAAAGTCCTATATTAAATTCCTAGAGGATATATAAAAAAGGGACAGATGCCAAATAACTCAACTTACCAAATTAAAAAAAATCTGTATCCAGTAGTACAGTCACATTGCTTCCCCCCGTTCAAAAATTAGAAACTCTTGTTCAATTCTAAATATAGCACCATTTTTACTTCTTTATAGATTACTTCCCCCAATCAGAATTATAGTAAACTGCATATAAAAAAACCAAACAAGTCAACTTTATGCTACAGGGAAAAGCAACCATCCCTCTTCCCCAGTCTTTGATATTTTCACTCACACTGCAATAGATTTTCACATGGAAATTGGTTTTGTACAAATCTTGTTCCTTAAACAAGCCATGTTGGTTATATTATTTAATCATCTCAAAAATAATTTTGAAAATTGAAGATGTATGTTTGCAGTTCAAGGATCTCTTCCTTAAGCTCGGGGTAATCATGAAACAATGATTCTCATGTTTCTTCAAACTGCAAGAATATAGGGGTATAGTTTAACCAAGAGCTCTTCATCAAAACTCCCTGCATAGAAGTATTAACAAACATAAAATAGATATCTAACATATTTTAACTCTCCTTGCCATGCTGATTACTCTACAAAATAAGATGCAAAACAAAAAACTCAAAATCCCAATACAAATTGACAAGCACCTTCTTTGCATTCTAAAGTGGCACAATCCCAGAGAAATTGTTATCTTGAGAGAATCTATGGCATTGTGCATACTGTACATCATTCTTATACTGTTATTACTCTTCTTATCTTGAGAAACTCACCTAAAGATAACTGATCCTATTTTAGAAGGGAATAGTTTTTTTATACGGCAATCACATACCCTTCTATGTAGCCCAGATGCCCTCGTTCTTCCTTTTATTCTAGAATTATCTTGGAGAAAGTTCAGGAAATTGATACTGTAGTTGCCTAACAACTGCAGCCTAGATTCTTTCAACACCCAGTGAAGAGAGAAAATACCAATCAATTTTAAGACTAAAGGTTAAGACTGGAGATAGGGTAACCAATAAATGCACAGATTCATATACACTGGGTATTACCATATTTGATCCTCAATAGAAGATGATTCAACCCACCAAGTTCCCTCTTTCCCAGCAACTTTTAATTTGGGTGAACCTGGAAGTTTCCTAGTTGAGCTTCACAATCCAAGAAAATGGCAGAAAAGGCACTCAATGAGTAGTAATCAGGCAGGACATGGAAATCCCACCGTGGAATATGACCGATCTAGATGCTTCTGTGGAGTGGTTGAAGAGCCATCAGGAAATGCGTAGGAGCAAGTCACAATATTGTTGAATATGACCATCCATTTGTGTCCCAATCCCCAAGTTGCTGCAATGATCTCAAACTGTCCTGTTCCCAGAATCCCTAGGAACTGAATCTTGCCGTCCATGGCTTCCTGGAGAGAAGAGTTTCCGATGCAGGCTCCACACCCAACGCTAAAAAGAAAAAGCAAATCAGACTCTAGAAATTCATCACAAAATTTAAATATGTCTGTTGAACACTTATTCTTCCCTTTCAAGTTTTCAATCTGCACATCTCTACTTTATATTTGAATCTTTAAAATCCATTCTGACCTTATGAAATTTAATATGAGTTTAATTCTTAATACCATTATGCATTAAATAATACATAGCACTAACCAACATGCAATTAGAAAGCAGCACTTTGTAGCACTTTTTTTTTAGTATCCATAGCATTTCAGCTTGGTTGCTTTCTAACTTGATCTCCTGCAGATGTGTTCCATTTCTACTCTCATCAGCTACAATCAGCATCAGCAAGAGATGATGAAACTCGCAGTACTGGAAGGCATCAAGTTGTTCACTATGTTACAACAACTCTGCAAGATTGGTTGGTATTTCATTATCCAGACGGAGGGCTAGAAAACTCAGCTCACACTGTTAGCCATTATGTTAGCCAGCTGCATAGATATTAGAGGAATTTTAAACAGCAATAGTGATATAAAGACAACTGCATGGCAGTGGCACACAGGACAGAGAAGCTATGGGACGGTGGAACACAAAAGGAAGAGCACCTGGACACAGAATCACTCATTTAACAGGGATGAAGCAGACATCCTGAAGTATCCCTGTAATATAGACTGAAAGAAAGGCTCTTGGGAATATTATGTGCTGCAGCTTCAGGGAAATGGGGATGGCAGGGAGCAGATACAGGAACGGAGTGGGAGGTTGCACAAAGGCAGAAAAGTTTGGCAGGTGGCTGTACCTGGCCGCCCCAACCTCAGAGTGGGGTCACTGGTTCGTCAGCAATGCCAAAGCTCTGGCAAATAAAGAAAAAAAACAAAAGCCTTCAGGGATGACCTAATGAACCCTGGAGAGGAAGGGGTGAAATAGCTGAATCATACTATTTGGAACACAAAACACATAACTCTTAAAATAGCCAGAAGGGTACCAATAGCTGAAAGATGGTCTTTCACAACTTTGTGATGGGACAGAAATGGCAATGGTAGGTGAAAAGACTTGGGGGCACCCTTTCATTCGGGGCAAGTCACATTCTTAATAATGATTTCTATAATCAACAGATTCAACTGCTAATAATTTCTCTGATTCACAGTATTTCAGGCCGTAACCACTTCTCCCCAGGGAATGAGGTGGGGTCACTTCCAAGGGATCTTGATTATAATAATGAGATGTCTAGGTTGAGACCCTCCCTCTGTATGTTTTTGAAAGCAAAAGTTAATTCAAGTAGAACGCCAGTCTAGCACAATTTCCCTTTCCCCACATATAGCCTGAAATAATACAGTCAAGAAAAAGTATCAAATTAATGAAAGAACTCAAATTACAAATCCTATCACCAAAAAACATTTCAACACTGAATAAACTCACCGACTGATGTTGTCCTAAAGCAGAGCTGCTGCCAGGCAGTGAACTTCTCCCCTGCCTAAGTGGTTCATGGTGGCTTGGGGAGGTTCCCTCTGACCCAGAGGTGTGAGCTGAGAGGAACACAGAACATAGTTAAGTACCAGTAGAAGCAACTACTAGTCTCTTGAGAGGGTTGATAGAAGAATAGTGATGCTACCTCTCGGGATGGGCTTGACATCTAAGTCCCATTCCTCTTCCTCAAAGTGGCCAGGGAGTGATAAACCAGGAGGGGGACCAGGGCCAAGGCCCAGAGGAGCTAAGCGCTGAGAAGGGCAGGAGGACAAGCTCATTGAGACACTTGGCTGGGCAGCTGAAAAGTGAGAGGAGGGAGAAAAAAAGAGAGACAAACATCCAAGGCATTTTGATTCAGTACCCCTGTCCTTGAGAAGACCTCTCCCTCTAGTGTTTGTTCCCATCTCATTAACAGAAAATGTTATTTCAACCACATTTTTGTGGCCTTTCTCCATTTTAAACTCATGTTAATAAGGCGGGGGGAATATATTTTTTTGGTCCATTCTTTGCTTTCTGGTTACAGAGAAAAATGTTCTGAGATTGATCCACCAGTTTTCACTGTTTGCAGATCTATTTCCACTCTTCTCTTCCCTGCAATTTTTTTTGTGTATAGTAAAGGCAATGGCTACATTTACTTAGAGTTAATGCATCACTGCACTGTCTGTTCCAGTTTGCTTGTTACTGCTTTTTTATCTTATCAGTTCTGAAGCAGCCAACTGCCTGGAATGTAAGGCCCCATCCATAAACATGCAACTCCCACTCCTTCAAAAACAAAACAAAGGGAATGTATCAAGATTAGGCCTATCTAGAAACCCCAGTCATCATGATGCTGGAAATCAAATGACATCATCAAAAGTGTACCTTTGTTTCAAACTCACTTGATCACACAAAGTAGCACTTGTTTTGTCTGACAGATCTAGTTCTTTAAACTTATGGGGGTAATGATACTAGAAAACTGCATTGATTGTCTTTCAAAATAAAATTATTGTTAATCTTTGACATAGATTTTATGCAACTATTTATCACTTTCTTTTCTTTCAAGAAAAAAGATTTTAAGAACCAGAAGCCTCCCTCCCAGCAAAACATTCCCCTATTTAGCTGACCATCCTCAGTTAGGCATGCTCATACCTTGTCTCCAGAGGAGTTGGGCTATAATATTTGTCCACTGATGCTTGACTTCAGCAGAGGCCGCTTGCAATGTATAGGCCTGTCGGGATGATCCCCTTCCGAACCAAAGCTCAAAACGTAACCCACTAGAACCAACACTCTCTGTCAATCCCATGGAAGCAGTCTATATGAAGACAGAGGAAACCATAGAAAATGTGGCAGTGTACACAGTTCATAGTCGGACGCAATGTAGTTTGACTTTTATTTAACTGTTCTGCAGCTTCAATCAGTTATAACTTATTCAGTAAATCATTATTAAACACATTGCTCACTGCAATATAATGAACCAGGTCTCTGAGTAAACATTGTGGCACCATCTGAAACAGGAAGTAAGTCTACATACAAAGCTGAGACAGGTGATCCTGGAAAAAAGGGAGTTTTCTGGTTGGAAAGATCTTTCATCAAGAATTGTAATTTTATTCCCTCTTGTCAGCTGAGCTATTGGTGACTTAATCAGACCCTTTCTTCCCCCCGCTTTTTATTTTTCTCCCCAATCCTTTTTCCCCACACTGCATTTGCAGTGGATTTCAGCCATTTGTCATGAGCAAGTCTGACAATTATGTTTATTTATGGAAAGGATAATTAAAGCCATTTCATTCCAGATAATAATTTCATCAGTGTGGATCAAAATAGCCCCAAATTGTACTTCTATCCCTAAAGCCTGGGAAAATATTATTCAATATAATCACTTTACTTACCTGCAAGGCCTGTTTGCAGACATAGCCACCCTCAGCTCCTTTGCATTTGGTAAAGAGTAGCAACTGTTCAAATAGGAAAACATGCCGCTGGCATTTACGGCGTCCGGACAACAGAATGAGTTCACCACGCTGAAGCAATGTCCCTTGTTCTGACAGTCTCATCTGCAAAGGAGCAGGAACACACGTGAAACTACGGTTGCCATTCCGTCTCAGAAGAGTGAGGAGAGTGTCAGTTCCCCCAATTTGCCCACCAGGATTTTTGTGTTTACTATTAAGCATTTAGAGCTTTGCAAAATCCAAGAAGATCAAGAGTTTGGCAACAGCACAGAACTTTGCAAGTGTCAGAAAAGATTAAACTGGTGGGTTTAGACAAGTAGCATAGGAGGAAATGACACATGCACAGTAAGCAGCAGGAAAAATGCAGCACTATGTGATGGAAGCACCCATGTGCTCACCTCGCAGCCTCGGATCTGCTCTATGGCCAGCAGGTCTCTGCCTCGCTGCTCCTGTGACTCCAGCAGTTGCTGGGCCTCCTGTAGGGTTTGGCGGTCAGGCCCCTGCTCGAGCTCACATTCATGTAGAAGTTCACCTAGGAAGCGCCGGTACCGCTCCAATTGCTCCAGAGGCACCTGCAAAGTGTGTGCTATCTGTCCATCCTCACGTGGCTCCATCAGACCTTTCTGCAGGAAAGAGAGGATAAAAGCAGAAGGCTAGAATGAAACACTGGAAACAAACCACTTGGGTGTTACCTGTTATACCATCGTTTCCTGGAAATCTCGTCATCCAGATCTCTACAGTGAATGAAACTATACAAATGTCTCAAAGTCAAGCTTTTGGGGGGGGGGAGATGGCCAGCAGGCTGTGCATCATCAAATTCTCAATGCAACTATAAATATGCCAACTTCAAGGACACCTGATCTAATGAGTAAAAAGGGCCTCTTATGAACAGAAGCAGTTTCTTTAGCAGTTGAGCGATTCATCCGGCCTTAAAAAATAAAAAGGGAAATTCCATCTGTCTGCCACGTGGCCGCAGCTCATTTACCTTGCCAGTGCTCCGAAGCAAAGCCAGGGCAGCGTGGAACTTGTGGTGATCTTTGGCATAGATTGCATACAGTTGCAGCTCTTCTCTCTGAAGGTAGGAAAGAGAGAGAGAGACAGGGGGACAGAGACTCTCTCATTCATCAGTGGAGCAACAGTCAGGCAAATTGCAGGAAAACTAGCTATTGGAACAGAGCAAAATCATCTCTCTAGCTTGGGGGACAACATATGCTTATTTTTTCCTTTCTTCCTTCCATTCTTTATAACAGGACAAATGTTATCCCTGAGAAAGCTCAAAACAAGGACTACCATCTTTCTCTCAGCCTTGCTGCTTTTGAATTCCATGCACTAATTATGAAATTAACATTCCTTATAAATTTATTTCCATGCTAATTAAAGCTTGGCTTGATAATTTGTATTATCAGACTTTTAAAGGCACAGGAGAAAACATTTTAATAAAATGATAGGCTCTTTGAAAAAAAGAGGTCTTTTTATTAATGGAGAGAAGCAAAAACTTTATAACAGGCATGTAGGTGAAGGTTTCCTGTAGTAGAACAATTAAACAAAGAACATGGAGAACACGAGAACTAAGGCAAAGTATAATTCTGAGAAAGCAGAAGGGCAACACTCTGAATCAAGAGAGACTTTCCCAAACAATTAACTAGAAAGAAAGGCAGTTTGGCATTATTGTGCTTTCTGAATATCCTTTAAAAAATGAAGATAAAAACCCATTTTTTTAAATAAAAAAGGGGGGGGCTTTTACTTAGCTTTTCAAAGATGGACGGCCCTGCATTTACTTGGAACCAGACTGATATATCTCCAGGAACAGTGGCTGGCTATCCTGCTGCTGTATTGAAGACTGAGGTTGTTTACTTTTTATCAGTTTGAGATAATTTATCCTAGCAGCTCCCTCTGGATATAGTGCAACCATTATAAATATGAAGCAGTTGCCAAGCATCCAAATTTTTATCGTATGACCATGGGGATGTTGCAATGATCATGTGAAAAACTGTCATAAGCCACTTTTTTTTAGTGCTATTATAACTTCAAACGATCACTAAATTAATGGTTGTAAGTCAAGGACTGTTGGGAGTCATGCTCTACTCAAAGGAGATTTTACCTGTTATTAAAGATTTATGTATGGACATTTTAAAAGCCAGGATGATTCACTGGCACCAGATCCACCTGAGCTACCATTCTCCTCAATCCAACCTACCACCAGTTGTTGTGGGAAAAATAGGAGGCGGCAATGCTATATTCCCCATTTTCAGCTCCTATACAAAGGGGGGATATAAATAAATATTGTTGATTTTTAAAAAGATGTGGCCCTACACACAAAAGCTATTGGGAAGCTATGCTCTCTTCCCTAAACTTTGGCATCACTGAAAGACTCTTAGTTTCTAATGGTGAGAAAAGGCAACTCTATATGCTCAGAGGAAATCTCTGCTTCACTGCTACTTCACATATGCCAGAACATTTTTTAAAAAGCATTTCAGAACTAAGAGATGGTCATGTGGTTAAGGAAGCTTTGCCAGTAGATGGGTGAGAAAGGAAGGAAAGAAGGGGGTGGAATTCTGACACAGGAAATGGGTCCCAGCATGCAGCAGGTGGAGTAGCAGCTGAGGAAAGGAAGCACTCACATGGCGCAGGAAGCAGCTGCCAGCGCGTGACGGGTGGCTCATGCATCCCTCCAACTCGCTCAGGAGGCAGCTGGAATGGAAGGCCAGCAGCCGGTCCCGTGTGGCCCGGAGAGCACTGCCCAGGCATCTTAACTCAGCTGTCCAAGCATGTCCCCCGAGCTCCTGAGACAGAGAGAAGGGCTGGGTAAGGGCACCCACATATTCCCGCTCGCACTCCAGAAGCTCAACCAAAAGCTGTTGTTGGACCCTGAGGAGAAAGAAGAAGGAATGGTCACATTCAAAGTCACTCAGCCATACTTGAACCATCTGGTGACAGCCAAATCTGTTAAGCGAGGAATGCTACATCTGGCAACGGAACATCAGTGCAAGGATTATCAGCTGCTTCTGTCACAGACTGCTCCCCCCCCAAAAAAAACATTGTGCAATCAGTGTTTTGAACCATGCTGCAGATCTATAAACATATAATTTCATTTTAATTGGTGTGATTCTGGTTCAAAGTGCCTCCAGGTTGTTTTATATGTTTAAAATATTTATGTACTGTATCACCTGTCACATGGTAGTCCGTACAGTGTTTCTCCAAGCACTACGCAAAATTTAAAATGCATTTGATTGCACTGGGATGTAATGAAAGCATATATATAATAAAGCAGAGAAGAGACTTCAAATCTTGCACGAGTATAATATCTCACTGCTATTCATTAAAGCAGCTCATCATTTTTTAAATTTCTGTGCCAGGATGGGGAAAAGATGTAGCTGTTTTCAGATTAGCAATTAGCTAGCTCTTTAAGATAGCAGCATACTTTTTTTTAGGTTTGTACAGAAATCTAAAATGCAATGTTGCTTTAAAGAATAGCAGAGAAGTGCTGCTTTCAGCAATACTTTTCTAAACATGTACAATCATAATGCAGAATAGGAACATACAAGAAGACCAGGAAATAGTATAAAGGATAGTACTGTAAAATGTTTATTACGTTATGATGGGGCTGACCAATGTGGTAGCTGATTAACTATTGACAATAGATTTTGGTCACCTCAGAGTTGGCAGAATGAAGGATAGTTTATATTCTCTCTCAAGGACAGCTCAGTATCAACTTTGCAGAGCAAGCTTCCACAAAAAGATGTGTTAATAACCGAATCTATGACAATGAACACTTCAGAGGATAATTTTTTAGAGGACTAGGTTCCATGTAAATGACAGAGTAACCAAGGTGCAAGAAATCACTTAGGTCATGAAATCCAACTCCCTACTTAATGCTAGAATATAATTTTAACCCTCTCTGAAAGAGAGTTGTCTAGCCTTTGCTTGAATATATTTAGTGAAAGAGAATTCACAATTTTTCTGGGCAATTGTTTTTGCTCTATTAGGTAGTTTTTTTTTTCTTTAACATTCAATTGGAATCTGCCTTATGAGTTGAATTCATTATTTGGTATCCTGCATTCAAGACTGATGGAGAATGTGTTAAATTTTCTTTGGTATGATAATCCTTTCAAGTTATTCTTTCATACTATCCTATTCTTCCCCCTCATACTTCTCAAGGCTAAACATTTCCAATTCCTTCAATGTCTTTTCTTAACACTTTATTTGAATTCCCCGAACAACCTCATTGCTCTTATCTGAATGTGTTCCAGTATGTCTGTTTCTTAATGTGGTGCCCAGAGCTGGATACAATACCTGAAGCCTGACTAACACAAATCTAAGCAATGTTCATATTGAGGTGGAAAGAACCATTTAGCCCACCAAGGACAACTCCAGTGCTCAGTGCAGGAATCCAAGTTAAACCACCCCGACAAATATTCATCAAGCTTATGTCTGAACATCCAGCACAAGGAAGCTCTGTAGGTAATTGGTTCTGCTGTGGAATTGCTCTTATTTTCTGAGAATTACCTAATATTCAAAGTCTTGCTCCCTGAAGCTTAAAAGCCATTATTATACTACCCTCTGATGTGACAAAGAAGAGGTCCTGAAGGGAAGAAGCCATTTAAAGTTTCTGTTCTGGCACCGGAATATCTTGAATCAAACCTTCTAAAAAAATTTTTTTTTAAATGAAGCCGCTAGGCAATCAGCAACTTTTTAATCCTACCATTCTGTTGTGGAACAACTAAGCAAAAGATACTCACAAATTCTGTTGCATTCTTACTCACCCAAGGCAACGCCTTCTTTCCATGCGAGGTGTGGCCCCCCATGGTGCTTCAGCAACATGAGTTCTGCTGCGTCCCAACAACACATGTTCACGGGGAGAACAGCTCCTGTCTGCCAGTTCCCGGCTGCTTACTTCCAGACCACGTATATGCACGCTAGGGCGACCTGGATCACTCAAGGCTCGTAATGCCAGGTTATTAGCTGGAGATGCAGGTGTTTTAGAAGTGCTGAGAGGACCCTGGCTTTTCTTCCTGCTGTCTAGGGCATTGCTTCGGCCAGGAGAACAACGTGGGGAGCCCTTGGGGCTAGTAAGTGGCTGGAAGAGAGAAGTTAAACTACAAGAGGAACCAAACTTGGCCCCAAGCAACAAGCCATGCTTAGGTGAAGAAGAAGCACTGATGCTGCATGCACGGGCTCGGGGAACAGAACTGTCTTTGGGCGTGACCTGTGACTTCCCTGAAGATCTAGGGTATTGTAACAGTTTTTTCTCCAAGGATGTTCCTTCAGCTAGTCCCTCAGCTGGTCTCTGACCCCCTCTCTTCTTTTCTACACTGCTGTCACTAGACAGAAGGCATGTTTTGCCTTCCTGCTGAACCTATGGAGAAAGAGAGATTAGAGGAAAAAAGAACCATGGTCAATCCCAGATATTGCCTTCACTGTTTCTTTTAGCTAATTTACTAATCCACTGAAATATGTAAGATGTCCTCCCTTGAACCAGGAGCCTTCCAGCTTTATGGTCTGGATCTTCCAGGATAGTTAGCAATGGCTGGAACTACGAAAGGCTGATTTAAACTTTTTTTCAGCTTTTGAGGAAGGCTGAATTCATTCTATCACTGGAATTTCTGCCATCACTGGGAAAACCTATCCTCACTCACTAACTCCTTCATAACATTTTTCCCCAGTCAGCTAACTCCCAACTCCTTAGAGCCACTTTAACCTCTCACTCATCTCAAGTCTAAAGAAAATTACCGTATTTTTCAGAGTATAAGACGCTCCAAGACACTCCGAAGTATAAGGCGCACCTAGCTTTTGGGGAGGAAAACAAGGGAAAAATATCTGCTTCTGCCTCTCAGTAATTTGCCTCCTTGCAACAAACAGCAAACAGTACAGACAATATACACTTTGTAGTGTTACATATCAGACTATACTTGTACAGATGCTGTTAAAATTGAAGTGTTTTCAGGAAGTATAGTTATTCTCTGTTATTTAAAAGAAGATACAATGGCACTGGGCCTCTTCAGATCAAGCATTTGTTTTAAAAAGCTTCATTTTGTTAAGCTGTCTAGAACAATAATAAAGCAGTCTTTAAAAAATAAGTCTAATAATTTGAAGATTCTATAGGCATTTATAGTTATTGACTTACCTCCTTGCAGCAAACAGCCTGATTAGCACAAGAAAAAAAGTCTGCCTCTGCCTCCCAGCAATTTCCACTTTTTCAGGCTGCTGAGATTACTATAGCTTATTGCAGCCTTGCAAGCTCTCGTTTGCTGCAATGAGGCAAATTGCTGGGAGGCAGAGGCCAAAGAGTTGGGGCCAGTGAGTGAGTAGGGCTACATTCAGTGTATAAGACACACCCAAATTTTTACCCTCTTAGAGGCGGGGAAATGTGCATCTTATACTCCGAAACATACGGTAGGCTTTTCAGGTGATAGTCTCCACAGCCATTCATCTCATTCAAAATCCCTAGCAAGAAGTCTCAGGATTTGAAGAAGTCATAAGCCTTGACTGCTCATGAGTGTATTAGCAAGATTTTTAAAAAATAAGGAAAGGAAAGCTTTGATCCTAGAATTTTTCCTTTCCATTCGGGGAGAATAACTGCCTAGGTTCATTTTTTTTAAAGCTCCTATAGTGGATACAAACTTTAGGCCTAATTATTTCCTTTGTTCAATTACATTCAGTATAGCCAACTCGTCCCAGAGAAACAAATCTTAATTACCTGTAGGTTTTTTTTCTCCTGCTGCAATAACTCAAGACACCGGTTGCTGAGTTGGACAAGTCCATGAAGGGCTTCATCTACCTCTTGATAGAGCCTTGTGGCATCCACAGCTTGATTACTACAAGATGGGGAAAATATTACTTTGGGGCAACACATTTAAAAAAAGCATTTGCTCAGAAGGAACAAATTAATCTCAGACAGGACCCATTTGGACATAATGAATTAATTTCCAAATGCTGATGAATTACAATTCCCAGCAGTTCTCACCAGACTCTCCAATGTATCCTAAGTCACAAACAATTGGGTGGAGGGACGCCAACTGCCCACTGCTTGTGTTTTAAAGGGCAAATGTGAGAAGAATGTTTTTAGAAAAGCATTCAGATAAACATCCAGCAAGAGTTATCTAAATAATTCTTCATTATCTATGAAGAACAAAGGCTGAGAATAGGGAATTGGCTGGAAATTCAATATATTTCTAGGCTAGAGTGCTGAGGTGCTTACAAGGGTGTTATGTAGTAGGGTTTTTTTCTGAAGGCTTAAAACAAGGGAAATGTTGCCTCTCCACCTCCCTTCTTATGCTTTAGGAACAAACTGCAGTCATCTGCTAATGTTTATAATACCTTCTTAATGGACTTTGAAAAACAATTCTTGTTTTTCATAGGAAAAGAATTTCTGTAACTGCCCTATTAAGATAAGAAACAAAAGGCAAAGTATATCCCACAACAGAGACGTAGATGGAAAAATATTCAAATAAAATATAATTAGTACTTCAGCTGACTTACTATGGTGGCTATACCCATGTAACCAAAAATTGTTTTCATTATGGCAAGTTGTCAAACTGCTATTCCAACCCATAAATAAAATAGCAAATACAAACACTTCTTGATGTCACTTTATTTTACAAATTCACTGCACAGGAGATCTCACTGTAGAACAGTGAAGAGTACTTAAAGAGTTCTTGGGATTTTTCATCTACAGGTAATTTTATATACCTTAGATAACCAAAAGGAATGTGGAATGTTTTAGAAAAGGAAGCAAAGACCATCTGCACTATTATTGTACAAGTAAGTAGTCCTTGACTTACAACCACAGTTGAACCCAACATTTATGCTGCTAAGTGAAAAATTTGTAAAGTGAGTTTTGCCCCATTTGTGACTTTTCTTGCCATGGTTGTTAAGTGAATTATAACAGCTGTTAACTTAGGAACATTGTTGTTAAGTGAATCTGGCTTCGCCACTGACTTTGCTTGTCAGAAGGTCACAAAAGCTGATCACATGAACCTGGGCCACTGCAATGGTCATAAATATGAACCAGTTGCCAAGCATCCTAGTTTTGATCACATGACCATGGGGGTGCTGCAATAGTCGTTAAGTGTGAAAAATGATCATAAGTCACTTTTTTCAATGCCATTGTAACTTAAAACGGTCACTAAATGAACTGTTGTACGTCGAGAACAACCTGTATTATTTTCTCAAACTGGTCCTCACCTGCAAGGTCCCGATGGAGGTAGCCGTGCCAGCAAGGAGCCCCCCCGGCGCTGGAGCTCCAGTAAACGAGGCTCTGAAAGCAATTTCTGCATAGTGTCCTGGTGCAAGGCGATTTGAGTTGACAGTTCCTACAAAGATAAAAAGGTACAGATGATAACACAGCAAAGGGTAATATACAGGGCCAACAAAATGAGAAGGGTTCTCCCACAAAGACTGAAAATTAACAAGCCTCCGTAAAAGAAACCCACTGTTTTGTACATTCTATGCTTTAAAAATTAATGAATTTGCCATAGTTGTATTATTTATCTTGTTTCTTTTGGTCACAGGGAACAGCGGACATCAATACAAATTCCACTTGGAAAAATATTTCCAATGAATGACCTAGTTCTTATGAGTACTTATTTTTCACTGAGATGGCAAACATTAGTTGGCTTGTACCACTTCCAATTGAAAATGTGGTTCTTAGTACTGACTGCCTCTTCACTGTTAATAAAAATAGTCCTTTCTTTAAGAAACCTGGAAGACTACAATTTTATATGCCAGACATCTTTATTCTGTTTCTTTAAAGAATGTACCGCATGATTCTTAACCATAAAAGCCAGCCTGGTGACCTTAGGCCACTCATTCTCTCAGCCCAACCCAACTCATTTGTAAAAATAATAAAGGTTATTTGTAAAAATAATAAAGGTGAGGTACAATAAATAAGCACTGGAATAAATAAATCTTGCGGTCTAAAGGGGTAGAGCTCAGCAACTCTCCTACTACTTCTGTGAGAACTGGTTTGAACTTATGAATGTGGAAATATATTGGTGAGGCTCTACAGCAGAGGTCTTCAACCTTGGCAACTTTAAGACTTGTGGACCTCAACTTCCAGAATTCTCCAGCCAGCTGCTGGCTGAAGAATTCTGGGAATTGGAGCCCATAAATCTTAAAGTTGCCAAGTATGAAGACTTCTGTTCTACAGGGAGTAGCTACAGAAGATCTTAGAAAGATTTTTTTTCCTGGTGGGGCAGATGGAGCTTCTTTAGAGTCATCAGATTTTTATTGGGATTCAATGCAGAATAAATGAAGTATGTGCAAGATTATTAGGAATGATTCAATTATCTACTCTGTCCAGTTTTGGATGCTCACTGCAACTATCATGTGAGTAGTCAAACTGATAGGATGTGACAAGTAAGTTATCTGCAACACAGACAGTATATCATTCACCAGTCTGATAAGAAAACGAATTGGATAATAAGATAAAATGGGAAGAAGGGGAAAATAAAGTATTGGAAGGATAAAATGATCAAAAGAAAGGTGTTCTCTAATGCAGGAATCCCCAGGCAGTAGACCAGTACTAGTCCATGGCCTGTTAGGAACCGGGTCGTACAAGAAGCAAGTGAAAAAGCAAAGCTTCATCTGCTCATGTGCCGGATTTAGGTTGCAGATGAAACCATTCCCCCTTCCCATATGTGGAAAAATTGTCTTCCATGAAACTTGTCCCTGGTGCCAGAAAGGTTGGGAACCGCTCCTCTAAGGAGTATATGTGTGAGACCCAAGAGCAGTTGTCCTAGGATCTCATGCCTGGCAGCACAATTGAATGTAAATGATTTATAATAGGCTACAGCAAAATTTTATTCAGAAATGAGGTTTACTATGTTCAGCATGATTTGCTTTAAAGCAATATGAGTCCAGTTGCAAGACCAAGAATTTATGATACTGTATATTTATGATTTTGTAAGAGCAAACCTTACTCCCTACTAGCACTGATGTTACCTAGTTTGGTAATGAAAACAGAAAAAGAAAAGATCTAAGCTCAGAAAGCCCCAAGGCCCCGGACAATTCAACCCTGATTTACCTGTATTCTCTTCTATTGGTATTTATCATAAAGCCATAAGCAGATACATGTATCCATACAACTTATTGTGTATCATTAAAATGAGTACTTGTATGGTTTCTCATTTCTCATTTTATACTTTTGCTACTTTTAGTGAAAAACATAGCCACAATTACACATATTGCTGATTTCAAATGATAACCCAAACTCCTGCTAAAGTGTCTTTGTTTAAAAGCCAACTATTCAGATACTTAATTATTGTGTCACTGTAAAGAGAATTAAAACAACCTTCCATTGCACATTTTTGTACTGTATATTGGAGAAGAAAACAGAAGAATCTACCTTAGGCTGCTTCTAAATATATCCATGGGCATAAAATGTCGGAAATCTCATACCATTTGGAGCAACATTTTGGGAAATATTAGTAGTTTCATGTGAAAACTGCTCAGGATTGATTAAATGATATTTCAGTAAATTTTAAAATAGTATTGTTTTCTTTGAATTTCTGAATATCCCATAAGCTATTTAGAGTGTTGGTAAATATTTTGGTCCTGGGAGGTGCTTTTTGTCTGCTTTTTAAATGTATATTAGTTTAGAGCAACTGACTCAGTCCACTAGCACTTATTTTCACTCTTGGTATCTAATGAACTCCCTCAACTGGGAGATTACTCAGAGAAGCAAGAGTGAAAACTGGTATCTTATGTTGACTACTGCTGCAACTCTATTCCAAGTACTAGCAGGAGGAGAGGCTACTTCTCATTGCATAATTCAATTGCATAACCTCATAGCTTCTGTATACATATCACATGGGTTTACCTCCTGACTTGATGCTGTTCCCACTGCGTTGAGGTGGTCACTGGCTTCACACACAGTCTGGAGAACACCACAGCAGAGATCTTGTAGTTGTTCAAGAGCCTGGTTAGATACAGAGATGGGAGGAGGGAAGGGCCAATTGTTTTATGGAAGCAGAGAGTTACAATATATTTTAATAAAGGACTAACATAAGAATGTCCAAGTTAGAACTACATCTGAAGTGGATGGTAAGATATGTGCTGAAATTTAAAGCATCTATAATATATAAAAGCTATATATGGAAGACGGAAACATTAACTACATATTCTTGAAGGAAAAAGGCAGGAAAGCTTCTTGCAGGAAACGAGGGAGGCTGCTTTAGTTCTTGGAACAATTCTTTATGTCAATATAAGGTCCACTCATTACTATTTTCCCCATACCTGATGTTCTCTAACCCATTTGGGTGGCGAGTAGCTCAGAGTCCCACCTAGCGCTGGTGTCAACTGATCCAAGGCCACATAATGTGGAAGTTCATGCAGCAAAAGAAGCCGGATTTCCTGCAGGATAAGGAGACTGAATCAGATACAGAGAGTTCCCAAATTCCTTTTCAATAATATCCAATATCTTGTCATCACTCTTCCTTACCTCAGCCATGAACCCTAGGTCAAGGCTAGACCTAAAGTGATGTTAGAAATAGTTAGTAACATCATAATATTTGAAGGACAAAAATACACAATAAAATGTTTATTTTGTCCGGGGAAAAGTGTATTTTTTCTTCGTGCAACAACTTGCATAATAGAAACAATACTTATTTCCTCCTCACCGCTAACTCTTAATATTATTTGCATGCATACATTTTTTTGCTATATCCTCCAAATTATTTAAGGGAGTAGATACACAGCTCTATCAATCCATTGATTTGATCTAGGAATGTGTTAAATAAATTATACACAGAGACCCTATGAGCTAAATTTGGTTAATGACCCAACTCATACACTTCGGTCTAGAGAATGTCCAGAGGTTTATGTAATCACATAATCATAAGCTACCTCCTTCCTGTATCATTAGATTTCAGTGCAATTTCAGCCCAAAACTTACCAGCCCTAAAGCAGAAAATAATACATTGTACAGCTTTTTCTTCATTATAAGATAAAGGCATTATTGACGAAATGTCTCGACTGGATAGAAAGGTAGAGTTAAATAAACAGTAAATTGCATTTCAGATGGCCAAGAGTTTGTAAGTTTCTTTAGCAGTCCAGTTTTTCTATAGTGGACTTGCCTCCAGTTAACATGTAGATTCTCACCATGGCAAAGCATGCATTAACCAGAATTATTGAAAAAGCTACAGTTAGCTGGATTGCACAACATGTTAAACCAGGAGTACCCAACCCTTGGGCCATGATCCGGTACCAGGACATGGCCCATTCAGAACCAGGTTACACAAGTGGCAGGCGAGTGCGCAATTGCATGTAGTTCCACTTACACAAGCGCGCGGGGGGGGGGGGGCA